TTTTGCTAGGAGTCGGAACGAAGCTCGTTAAAAAGCCGGCATCCTATACTGATTGAAATGACTGTAGAATAGACTACACGATAATCAGTATCACAACTGGAGTCAATTCCGATTACCGAAAGAGTATTAGTCTTTCGCATATGTCGAAATATTGCATGATCAACCGCGTCTACTGTGCGTAGCAGAATTTTTTGAGAACTTCATTACTTTACCCTTACCGTAGAGACCTATTTAGTTATCATAAAGCAGAATGTATACTGCATATATGTTTAAGACCTTGAATTCAAGTTCAAAGGCCGGTAGGGTTCAAAATTATTCGGCAATTCGGAAACTTTTTTAAAGCCGAACGCTACCCCTTCGTCAAGAACAACATTTAAAGAAGGCGTAAGTTGCTAATAAAAGAGTACAAGAAAGAAAAGTTTGTGCACTTTGTTTTAAACACATATTTTACTCTATTAGGTCAATGAGGATTAATGACGAATCTTCATACTACTTAATTATCCTTTTTTGTATCATATACTCCTTGCTAGTGGTCAAGAGGCAGGTTGTTCAAAAGCCGGCCTCCATTAATGACTGAAATATATTGAAATGAAGTCGCATCCTAATCAATGCTACAACCATGGTTAATCACTACGTTCGAATCGAAAGCCCATTTCAAAATTTCGGCTGACAGTTCATGTTATTGAGATTTTACTGTAGTTCTTTTTGCTCTCAGCCTTCTGCGCAAAAACCCTTCTTCACTCCGTCTTTTTGTAGCTTTTGATTAACATTTTTGACAATGACAAAATAAACTCAAGTTGCCATTTCTGGCTTGTTAGTGGCAGCAGCCAGCCAAATCCAACCCCCACGTGGTGGACCACCCAAGACTCGAAGTCGTAACCTGATGATTAGAAAGTTAACGGTCCAATTAAGTGTCAGCCTAAAAGGGAGAAACTTGATAGGTAGAGAGGGTAGGCACAATTAATTTTAATGGTCGATCAACTCATTCCCGCCTACGCTTCCTCGTCCATTTTAAGACTGACTGCTACCTCTTTTTCTGTCCGACTCCACCCCTTTTAAACACGTCCCACAGGCTTCTGTGAACATGCAGTAACATGAACTGCCATAGTGTGACAACTACCTCCCCCTCCTCCATCCTCTTACCATGCGCCCACATCTAAGACTAATTGTTTCTACTCTCTTTTGTCTATCCAGCTCCACCCTTCTAGGTGGATACTTAATTGGACGGTTAATTATCTTATTAATAGGCAACGACCGTCTGTAGTTGAATAAGAGATCATTAAATTTATAATGTCAATAAGTCCTGGTAAGCTCGGAATCTTTGCCTTGTTCAAATTTCTGTCGGGAAAACAATGTTTCCTTAACTCTGATTAGAAAGTTAACGCGCCAACCCTTGGACTACATATTTGTTTTCTTCATGGTTTTGATCGGAAATAGTGTCAGGAGCGAATGAATGCTCAGTGATCGGTGACGGGACTCACTCGTCCCCCGCTGCTTTTCAGCTAAGTGTCAACCCCCATTCTCCTTCTAGCACACGCATAGTTGCTATTATTATAGGCAAATTAATATTGCCGACCAATTCAAGGGGGATTGGAATCGCCATTTCTAGCTTATTAAGAGCCATTGTCGCAGCTAATAGTGTCGACAAACAGAAGGTTCCCCCAAATCGCAAGTCCAGGAATACGGTGTTGATGGACAAAAGTTTACCACCGGAAAATAGATAGTAAAGAGGCTGTTTTGT